CTAAAATTTTAATGTTTCTAAAGTTTATATAAATAAATGATTTCGTCGTGCAATTCCTTAACTGTCCAATAACCGGTACATTTACCTTACATATTCTAACGTCAAATATTCTGACATGATTTTCATGTATGGTTTCTGCGACGATAATGCTACAGAGGCGATGCAACAGTATGCACGCCGATTTCTAAATGGAAGAGTGCCGGATCAGCGAGTTATTATAATAGCTTTTAATAGACTGCGAGAGACCGGTTCGTTTCAATTCATTAAAATCTGTTAAAAACAAACATGTAAGTAGAAAATCGTGTCCTGCACCATTTTGATAACAATTTTGAGACCAGCATCAAGAGAGCATCAGCTGCATTACGATTGCCAGGACACAGAATCTACCAAAAACTTTAAGAGATAACTGCCATCCCTACTATATTCAAAAAGTGCAGAATTTACCATTACCTCAAGTTATTTTAAGAGATTGAATTTTAGCAATTGGTTTCTTAAGCAATCTAACAATGACAATTCATTTCCATAAAAAATAATCTAGATAAATCAAATATTAACATAAATTGCCGTTGAGAGCCAACACTAGATGAAAATGTGTAATAAACTTTATTTAATTACATAAAATTGCAAACGTTTCAACCTTAGTCCAGGTCCTTTTCAATGCAAGAAAAAATTCTTTAATGAAGTAAATGATGTTTAATTATGAATGGATATCCTCTCAATCTCATTTTTACTACCATTAAAAAAGACTTCATAAAAAATTTGACCTCATTAACCACATAATAGTTACTCCTACAAATCAACTGATAACGACAACAAATAGAATAAAGAAAAAATCCAATTTTTCACCTTTCCATATATTCCTAATATTTCGGAAAAAATTAAAAATTACTTTAAAGATTTTCCACTCATGCGTGTTGCTTTCAAAGGAATTAGTAAACTTAATAAGTTTATTAAAGTTCAAAAAGATTCTTTACCAAAATCTCATCAATCTGACATAGTTTATAAAATCAACTGCAATAATTGTTATTGTTCATATGTAGGGCAGACGAGTAGATGTTTAATGATGCGTATTAAAGAGCACAAAAATCATATTAATAGAAATACCACCCAACAGTCTGTTATTACTGAACATCGTATAGAATCATCTCATGACTTTGATTGGAATTCAGTATAGATATTAGATAAAGAAAAAATCTTACATTAAAAAAAGACTAATATCAGAGATGATACATATTAATAAACAAAAATAAGGTATAAATTTAAAAAATGATACATTCTCTCTCAACCCACAGTATATTAATTTGTTTTTTAAATCGTGATGCTTCCATATCCTTATATACAATTTATATTTATACTTATATTTATATTTATATTTATTTTATTTTTATATTTATTGCGTTATCTATATGACATTGACTTACATTTTCTATTACCATACTCGTTCTTTCTATTTATTTCACAATCTGCTATTGAGACAATTCAACATCATTTTAAATTCATTTTATACTTCCATGTAAGTTTTGTTTTTATAGACATTCACTTTTATATTTTTTCATGTACATTTTATTTATATCAACCAGTTATCAATTATTAATTTCTTTTTATGTATTTTATTTCATTAGTAAACTGTGAAATTAATGGAATATTTATGATGATATTACGTTTCAAATCTTCGACAATCATGTAAGTTTTGTATCATACTATTTATTCATTTATATTGATCTTTAATTCTAAAATCTCACACGATCACACTATTTATTTCAGTGAATTTTTCACTTCAATGATTGTGATATTTGTTTACAAGTGGACAACACCTATAGCTATTAGTTCGTTTTTGTATTGTAATTATTTATGACATCATTTACTTCATTAAAGAATTTTTTTCTTGCATTGAAAAAGACCTGGACTAAGGTCGAAACGTTTGAAATTTTATGTAATTAAATAAATTAAGTTTATTACACATTTTCATCCAGTGTTGGCTCTCAACGGCAATTTATTTTAGTATTTGATTTATTCATAGGAGCCTCTTGTATATATACTGTTATTAATTTTTAATCTAGATAAAGCTACATTTAAAAGAGAAAGAATTAGTAATTAAAGAAATTATCATATAGACTCATGAAATTTCCAAAGCTGTTAGGGAAAGTAGGTTCCAGCATGACTTTGCTATTAATGTTTGACTCGGAACGACTCTCTAATGATACCATTTTTTTAACCGACAGATTAAATGTAGCCAGATATACAAATTTTTTAGGGACTGACTTTTTTGATTATTTAGAAGACATCCATCTACAACAATGGATTGAAGTATGGTTTCAATTCGATGGGTGTTCAGCTCATTATGGCAGAATTATTTGAGCTTGGCTAGACAGACATTACCCAGATAGCCAAATTTGCTGAAAACAGATCTTGTAAAATCTTGTTGCAAACCTTGTTAGCAGAAAGAATAAAAATTGGCAACAAGTTTTCATATATCAAATAATGTTGAAAATTCGCTAACAAATATGTAACTAAATTTGATGTCATAATTTGGCAGCAAATTGGTAGCAAAATGCGGGCAAATATATTCATACAAATTGGCAACAAATTGGCGACAAACTTTGCGTAGTGCTGTTTGACGACAAATTGGCACCAAATTGGTGGTTAGCTTTGCATAGCATTATTTGACGACAAATTAGAATCAAATTGGTAGCAAACTTTGCGTAGTGCTGTTTGATGACAAATTAGTAGCAAACTTTGTATAGCATTATTTGACGACAAATTGAGAGCAAATTGGCAGCAAACTTTGCGTAGCGTTATTTGATGACAAATTTACAGCAAAAATTTGTCACTTTCATACACGGCTCCGCCACGAGATGGACTTGCTTCTCGTAAGAAGAAAACGTTCATGAGTTCTGTATAAGAATTGATGTATGCAAATCGAATAAGCAAATCTGGAGATTCCCAAGCTCTTTTGGGATGTGCCTTCTAAATCTCTGAAAATTTTTGACTATTTTATAACTTTCTCATGTGCATTTAGAAATGTGAAGAGCTAATCAAATCAATAATATTTTAGCAACCAAAATAAAACTGTATTGATTAATTTTTACACCAGTATATATACACACAATTATGTACAATATTATAACTAATGATCTCTTAAGGTGTAGATCAAAGACCATTTAAATGATTGCAAAATATCACATTTTGCTTGATTTTTGCTTTGAATTTGACGCTACGCAAAATTTGTTGCCAATTTGCTGTCAATTTGTCGTCAAACAGCGCTACGCAAAACTTGGTACCAATTTGGTACCAATTTGTCGCCAAACAGCGCTACTCAAACCTTGCTATCAATTTGGTGCGAATTTGTCGCCAAACAGCGCTACGCAAAGCTTGCTATCAATTTGGTGCCAATTTGCTGCCTAGTTTTGTAACGCAAGCTTTGCCTGCAAAACACAAGCTTATTGCTGACACAGATGGCACCGGATTTGCTACCAAACTTTGAACGAGTTTCATGCCAAATTGATGCCAAATTGCTAGCAAATTGCTTACTGGGTATCTATGACAATGAATTGGATGTGGAGAAGTAGTACCTTGGCCATTCCAACCACTTGATCCAACTTCTCAACTACTGGACTTCTTTATATGGGGAGATCCTGAAGCAGGAAATTTATTCGTCGTCAATCACAACTAAAATAAACTATTGAAAAATCAAATTGAGACTACAATACACCAAATATCACCAAATCAGTATTTAACTGCAACACAAACTGTCTATATTAGATGCTTGCAAGAGACCAACATTTTGAACAGTATTTAAACAAGTGAATAAATACAACATGAATAAGTAATAAAAAAATACAAAAATGAAAACTACATTTTGTTTTTTTTTGTAATTTTCTCCAAAACAAAGCAAAAACGAGCATATCTCTATAGGATTTTTGTTTAGTTTATCAATCCCCTACACGCTCCCGACATTCAAATTCCGAACACCTTGTATATGTATATAAAGACATATGATTTATATGTATATAAAATAATTTATATTGACTATAGTATGCTCTCTCTCTTGACTCTCATTTATTGATACTTGTTATTAAGATTCCTTTATTTATTTTCATTACAATATATCAAAACCGACATAAGTGTTTCATATACAGAATGAGGTATCTAAAACAAAACACTGGAATATTTCAAAATTAAACACAATAAGGAAAAATGTCTCATTAATAAAATTGACAAAAGTTATGTAATTTAAAGGGGGCCAAACAATGATAAAATTATTTTTCAAAAAAGAATTCATTTATCAAAGTCACATGGAAAACCTTTTTTAAATGGAAAACTATTGACTTTTCGTTAGTGTTACCTTAATATTTTTATATGCAAAATAATTAAAGAAATCACAGTATGTACAAAAAAATCCATAATTTCATTTAAAAAAGTGAAGGTAACCTCCATGTAACATTAAAAAAACAATTTTTTTTAAATGATTTTATCATTATTTGTCCCCCTTTGAATCATACTTTTGTTGTGTGAAAAACTTTCTAAAATATTTTTTCCTGCCATGTTTAATTTTCGAGATATTTCCATACTTTTGTTTTAAATGTCCTACCCTGTATATCCTGATTCTTATAAAGCATTCTAAAAAATTTTGAAGAATTGTCACATAATTAAGAAAAAACTTTATATGGCCATATATCCAAAATAATTTATTGTCAGATATATATAAAGATACAAGATATTAAAGTTAAAGAAAAAATTTTTGATAAAAATTTTGGAAATTATTCAGATTATTTTAACGAAATTTTATATTTCAAGAGTCATCTTTTATGGCCATACACACACATTAATTTTTTATTCAAACAGCAAATATATCTTTGAAATTGCTTCGGATATATAATTTTCATCTTTAATTAATGTAAAAAATCACATTTTTTAATTTTTTAAATTTATTTAAAGATATCATCACTTTATATATACATATATATATATAAAACATTAACATAAACATTAATGTTTACCTGGAAGTCCAACCCATCAATGGATTCTCCCAGCGTTCACGAGTATCAAAGTCCATTTGCCAAAATTGAATGTTGTTCGTTCCTGATTGCATAGCACTCTTGGCAGGTTGATATATCCGTACTTTGCGTGTCTTGATATGCTCCTCGGGAACACCGGATACATAACCGACGTCCTCATCAGTTACGGTAATTGGACTTTTTAAAGCTTGCAGATGCTTAGCTTCCTCTGGCGATTGTGTAATCTCTCGAAAACTTTTGCGCTCTGCTATGTTGGATTTCTTTTGTATGTCTTTACTTGAAAATAACCTACTCCATCTGTATAGAGTTTTTTAGAATTCGTAAATCACAAACGCTTGTCTGTTAAATAATAGTTTGCATACTAATATTATGTTCCTAGTAATTATATTTTAATTTTAATGAAAAAATAAAATATAGAAACATTCTAATTTTAACAATTTAGACATATGTGTGTATATATGTATATACACATATGTCTAAATTGTTAAAATTAGAATGTTTCTATATATATAGGCTCATATTAGTTCAACAAATCTACATGAAATTAACGGTTTACTTTTTTAAATTATATAACCGTACATTTAACAATCATAATGATAATAAATTTAATAAAGATTAATAGGTTTGTTATATAAATTACAAGGTTATGATTAATTGTTCTATCCAGACAATTAATAAAGTAAGATACCTAAGATTACTCCTACTAATTCCACATGCACGAAATGCCATTATTTCGTTCGTAAAAAACGAAAAAAACAAATGATGCGAAATAACTGACCAGACAAAACACTCTTAAAACCGTCAACAAACAATCTAAAGGAAACTTTTCATGTTAACGTCAGTGATGCCAGACACAGCCAGACTAAAGACCTATAATCAAAGATGCGCCAACCCATATATGTAATACTACTATATGGCCATGGTATAAAGACAAGGGTATGCTCACGCGCATGATAGTTCCAGACAACCAATCAGAAATGTCACTCAGTGTACGTCACATTAAGCGGCAAATTCAAAATGCATTCGCTTAGTAGTACTTCTACATACAGTATTGAATTACGGTATTTTCTAATAAGATTGACTTTAAAAAACGTGATTTCTCGCCGCTAAATTCAAATAATTTATTCTAATACGTATCACAAATAATTTCAAAAAATAAAAAAGAAATCATCTTCCATTATATAAATTGTGAAATAATTTATATAAAGGAAGGTGATTTTACACTTTTAGCAACAATTAATACTTTTCTTGAAAAGCAATTCACATTATTTATTGTAGAAATACGCAATTAGCAAAAAACTTTCATTGTGCTCTCTTTACAAAAAAAATATATACATATAATGATCATTTAAGATTCTTTTGTAACTTATTTTTGAGGAATGGACGATGAAATGAATAAAAAAACAATTGCAGGTATATGTGTGTATATAATAACTAATATGTAATATAATAAGTATAACGTGTATATATAATACAAGTAATGACTATATTTATTAAGAAATTTTGATAATCATTACATTTGAAGAAGGCTCAATCAAGGAGCCGAAACATGTCATGTATGCATACGAAATTTAATTAAATTCAAAATTTTTATATACAGGAAAATTTAATTTGTAATGTTTCGTTGACTCTCAGAGTTGCCCTTATTATTATCCTCTATTGTTTCAGCATAAATAAATACATAAATAAATAAGGTGGAATTGTACAATAGTATTAATCGATGAAATTGTCAGTGCTCTTGGTGAAAATTTTTCATATAATTTAAAAATATTTTTAATAAAGAATTTAAAATCTAGATTTGTTTATACGAATGTTTATACGAATTCACATATAATAAAAAATTATAAGAAAAAGTGTATTCTTTCTCAATACTTCTGAAAGCGTTTTAATTCATGTAAAAATTCTGACAAATTTTCACCAAGAGTTTCGTGATATTTTTGTTTGATTGTAAAAAGTTAACCTAACCAGATTAGTTATTTACATTTACACTATCAATTTGTTTATGCGTTAATATGCAATATTTCAACCTTACCATGCGTTAAATTTACATTTTCCTCGCACACTTCGATCCATTTTGCAGCAATTTCAGGGTCTTTAGGAAACCTGAAATATTTTATTTCCTCTCCTTTCATTCTTACCGTTTTTCGATAATAATTATTGCAGACTTTTACTGCACAAACAGCCATTATTTTTAATAAAAACTCTTGCTTACTTTACCGCTTTAACGAATATCATAAATACGGCAGCCCATACTTCATTGGCACTCAGAGTCCGAAAGCTTCCGAAAGCATCCGAAAGTAGCCGAATGTGACGTAAACTGAGTGATGCGCAAAGGCTTTCTAAATTTGTCCACCGGATGAGCGTACCCTTGTGTTTATACCATGTATATGGCTATAGTGCCTATAAGAGGGAGTGAGAAGAAGCCGTCCCAGAACCACGGTGCGGGAATATATAGAGACCCTCTAATCAGAGTCGCGAAATAACGTTTCCAATTTTGATTGGTGCTGACATTTTTCAGCAAAAACCGGAAATAGTCATGGCGTCAAATTTAAGTCGACCTACATTCGCTGCCCATTTTGCTCTTTTTTCAGGATTACGAGGAAAGACTTTCATAATATAACCCTTTTTTACAGAATTATTGCAGTCTGGCGCAGAACAACCAGTCATTTTAGAAAATAAAATTTTATGAAATACAGTATTAATATAAAAAATATAATAATGTAATATCTTTCTAATAACTGTATTTAGATTCACATGTATTAAGGTGCTTTTTCATGCGCAGCACGCTGCAGCAGCAATTCGTTACTATTGGTTAAGAATTTTATGTAAGCTAGATGACACACTTCCGGCGCAAAATACATTTTGCCGCAGTTCGTTGAAGTTGAACCGAACGAACAGCAAGCAGCAAGCGGCAAAATCGAGGCAATATTATTTATTGCAATAAATATTAGGAAAATTAACGAAGAATGGCTTCGGATAAGGTACGAATGTTTGTAAATTAGATCATTTTATACTTTACACTTTACTTTTTCAAATTTGTGGTAAAGTATAAAATGATCTAATTTACAAACATGTATCCGTACCTTATCCGAAGCCATTTTTCGTTTATTTCCCTAATATTTATTGCAATAAATAATATTTTTATAATGAAACGACGGATGTTAATCATAGTCTTTTCATTGCAACTGCGATGGTGCTCATACGTGCAGTAGTATTGGCGATGCAAAGATCTCTCTGTGCGCTCCTAGTGGCGGCCGGTAGAAGCTTCGCTAGTCAGACACCTTAGGGTCTGCGCACAATGGAGGAACAGATATTAGATATTAAAATATTAACCTATCAGATACCAGATACATCGGATACACGATTCTGATAGGTTAATATTTTAATATTTAATATCTGTTCCTCCATTGTGCGCAGACCCTTATACGTGCTATAATGGAAAATAATAAAGTAAAATCAAAAAGAAATACTATGTTTTGTGGCACAATACCATAATTATAAACAGAAGGGGATCAGTTTTCATCACTTAAAAAAAAAAGAAATAATTTTTTTTTTAAGTGATGAAAACTGATCCCCTTCTGTTTATAATTATGGTATTGTGCCACAAAACATAGTATTTCTTTTTGATTTTACTTTATTATTTTCCATTATAGCACGTATAAGGTGTCTGACTAGCGAAGCTTCTACCGGCCGCCACTAGGAGCGAGCAGAGAGATCTTTACATCGCCAATTAGGGGCTGCGCAGAATAAAAGGAACAGAGAACAGAGAATGAGAATTTCAACCTATCAGAAATCATGTACCATGGAATACAAACTGTTTATTCCATAGTATATGATTTCTGATAGGATGAAATTCTTATTCTCTAATCTCTGTTCCCTGTTCCTTTTATTCTGCGTAGCCCCTTAGAGTCCCTATATCAGAGTCTGGCTATTCACCGTGTTCGCGCCCATTGGCTGAATCAAGCTCAAGAATAACATGGCGGAACCAATGAGAATTACTACAAAATTCAGGCTAATTCAAATAAGAGAAATACAATAAATCACGAAACAACTTTTTACTTATTCTTTTATAAATAGCATTAATTTTCTATAATATAAAAACATATAAGACAAAAGACAATATGTTAAAATAAAAACAAGTTTATAAAATCGGTATTGCAGACAAATTATTTGATCACAGAATAAATTGTCTGTAAGACATAGGTCGGTAAGTTGTAGGTAACCACAGCGTTGTTGATTAAGTTCCGAATTTCTCCGAGAGACGGCGCGTTGCGAGCTGTCACCATAGATATTTATATAACACTAGATCGCTAACTCCCCTATGTACACCCACGGTAATTAATTCTGTCCCTCGGAAATTTTCACAAAATGAAAAGTGACCTCCTTTCTGTATTAATTATCACTATTCATGCACGATAAGGTTCAGTCGTAACGTTAATCGTGCATAGATGGTGACAATTAATATAGAAAGGTGGTCATTTTTTATTTTGTGAAAATTTCCGTGGGACAGAATTAATTACCGTGGGTGTACCGTGCATAAAGCGGGGAGCACAGACTTTTGCATAACGCATAAAGCATGTGCATAAGGAATTTCATTGGTCCATTTTCTTATGCATGAGTCAATGGACCAATCAAATTCTTTATGTATATGGTTTATGCGTTATGCAAAAGTCTGTGCTCCCCGCTTAAAAATTGATTCCTAAACTTATGTATTACGAAGCGTGACGTCGGAATGAAACGGTCACGTGTATATACTATTGTGTAACGGCCGCGGTAAAGCCACATGGGCGATATACGTACGTGTAACGTTCGTTTGTGCGTGATTTTGGAAAATTTACAATGCCATTATCAATTATCGTGTTAAAAGTTGCCGCCGTTTAAGTGGAAAAAAGAATCAAGGGGTAATATTTCATAGGTAAGTCGCAATCATTCTTGTATTTTATTGTCTCCAGATGCGTCGGCTGCTAGTAATGCGCCAACGTCACGGACACGTGACATGGGTTTAGTACATACTTTTCGGAATCATGTACTAGAGCCCAGTTAGCGATCTAGTGTTATATAAATATCTATGGCTGTCACCAACACTCCTAACTAGGTTGGTAGAACTAATTATCGCTGATTGGCGAAAAGCGATCAGGCTGGCGTGATTGGCCGCTTGAGTTATTTTGAAGTAATAACGACGGAGTCTCTTTGTGACCTCCGTCAAGTTAGAGTCCTAGATATCAGAGAAGCGCAACCGATGTTCCGCGTCCTGATTAGCTGACTGTCAGCCAATCATGACATTCATTCAGTGGTATTAAAAATGGCTGACTAATAGACGATTGGTGGATTTCATATTTCGTCTGCAAAAGACGCCATTTTTAATACTTTTCTTAGTAATTTTGCGATACTGACTTAAGCCGGTTGCGCTTCTCTGATATCTAGGACTCTACGTCAAGTAAACACCACGAGTGTCGCCGACGTAAAATAAAACAATGTGTGGTACCTAGTAAAGTGTGTGGGAATTATTCCGCTATCCACGACATATCCCTTTGCTCTCTTTTGTCATTCCATTCCTACCTGACATTCCTAATTTATCCTTGTGAGTTTATATTTATCCTATAATGCTTCGAGGTCCGAGAATAGTAGTTCCGTCTCTCTTTATCTTTCTGCATACCTTACATGCCATTGTTTTACTGTTGTGTACTGTATTTTTTAAACGACCTTTTTGAATGCGATTCTTAAACGATATCTTATAAAACGCTTCTTTATTTTTGTAAATAGTTGATGACAGCTTTTTATTGTTTCACATATAATAGTTTGCATTTTTTCAAAAAAGAAATGATTAAAGTTGCATTTACTATTTTT